GTGGAGTCTTGACTTGAAGGCCAACCAGAGTGGGATGACTGAAATCTGAAGAATGCATTGATTGGAAGCTGACAGTGAAGGTAGAAGTGTCTCCTGAGCAGAGGATACAGCATATGTACAACTGCCAGGACCCATAATGGCAGGTAGGAGGGGTTTCAAGGACCCAAGGCAGGGGTGATTGCAAGTGGTTCTACAAGCAGAGACTGTAAGTAAGATGGAGAGACGTGATCTGAAAAATGTGATCTTAGAGATGTGACCTTTAAGCTGATCTTAAAGTTCCTTCTATGAAATACTTACAAAGGCTGAATTTTTTACTAAAGGTCATGGAAACCTCTGAAGGGTCTTAAACAGGGTCCTGACCACAAAGTGAAAGATGTCTTAGAGGTTCCCTAGTTGAGGCAACTTGCTTGGGTGAGAAAAACTAGATCCTCTGAAGGGACACAGCTCTGAGCCCAGGTACCAGACATGAAAGTTGAGAGTGAATTAGATTGCTACTTTCACAGTGCCCCTCAGCCAGGTGCCTTCATGAAGTGTACAAACTGCCCAGCGGCAGGACAGTACCCCAGGCAGAGGACAGGTTAAGAGTGCTCCACCCAGACAATGGCAGAGGCCATGAAATGAAAATAAAGCTACAGAGCAGAGGTGTTTGGAAGAGAGAAATATAAGGACTTGGTCATGAGTTGAGACAAGAGGAGCTTCCCTGGTGGCTCAGAAAGTGAAGATTCTGCCTGAAATGCAGAATACCTGGGTTTGATCCCTGGGTCAGGAAGATCCCTGGAGAAGGAAAAGGCTACCCACTCCAGTATTCTTACCTGGAGAATCCCATGGACAGAGAACCTGGTGGGCTATAGTCCAAGGGATCGCTAAGAGTCGGATATGACTGAGCAGCACTGATCACTTCACTGAGACAGAAGAAGGGGTTGTGGGTGGCTCCCCCATGTTGGGCTTGACTGGGTGGGCAGAGGTCCTGGTAATCATGGTTAAAAATCCAGGAGGAGTGAGTACCAGCTTTGGCGAAAAGCTGATCAACTCTATTTGGATAAGTTTCCATTGTGGTTTCATGGAGCATTCAGCTGGAAGTGTCCAATAGACTGTTGGATATATGGTTTGAAGTACAGGTTAAGACATATTGCCTATTAATGTACATATGGGAGCTATCAATATGCAGAAAAGGGCTTAAGTTGTGGGAACTAAGATCACTCAAGCTATGGGTAGACTAGAAAAGGTAAGGATTTATTAAAGATCTCATTCTAATCACTTATCTTTTATTGACAGCCTCTGCAATGCATTGTAGATGAAACAATGACCAACTACACTTCCTTCTTTGTTTGCTTCTTTTCTTTTTAATTAAAAATGTTTTTTTTTATGTCCAGAGTTGTGGTACTTGCTGTTTGAAAACCTGATCTTGAGCTTCCTTAGAGAAAAAAATAATTGATTTTTCCCATCAAAGCCTGTTTACAGTTTAGCTATGTGGGGCAGGGAACCAAATGTTCAAACAGTTTCTAGAAATGTGCCTTTGTCTTTTTGAATCTGATCTGTGATTGTTTTGAAGTGAATGTGATGGCTTTGGCATTAGGCATTTTAGGAGCTGCTGTGTGTTTCTGGCTAAATCTGAGTTGCTACTACAAAAAAGGAAACTGAAGCAACTAATTAGATAAAAGAAGCTGAGCACAGCCATGAATTACAGAATTTCCAGGCAAAATGGTGTTTCAATTCCAACACACTTTTCTATCACCACCAATTAGAACAAATGCAAGAAGGCAGCCGAGCTTGGAAACAGAACATTATCTGGCCTTGAAGCTTGATTGGGATGCAGTCCCTTGTAGCCAGGAGCTAATACAGATGTGTTAGCAGAACCACATTCCAATAGATTCTTAAGCAAGGTGTCTGCAATTGTTAATATCCAAGGATAGTAAAGGCTGTGTTTAACAATATAGGTGTAATAATAAGAAAATAAACCTTAAATTAGCTTTCATTTATTTATTAATTCAATCTACAAATATTCACTGAATGCATTTTATGTGACAGGTATTCTTAAGCACCATATGCCCTCTCACTAAATCTTTCATATGTTGGCTGCTAGATTTATCTTCATGAATTTCTATGTCATGATTTTCTGTGTCTCAGTAGAAACGCCTGCTGTATGTATTCCAAGAGTACCCTTTTACTTGTCTGATGGGGTTTCCTGTTACTTGTCTATACTCTTAAGTAATATGATGTTCTCAGTCACTCAGTGATGTCCAACTCTGTGATTCCATGGACCTCACCAGGCTCCTCTGTTCATGGGATTCTCTAGTTAAGAATACTGAAGTGGGTTGCCATTCCTTTCTCCAGGGGATCTTTCCCACTCAGGGACTGAACCTCAGTCTCCTGCGTTGGAGGTGGATTCTTTACTGTCGGGTCATTAGGAAAGCCCAAGTAATAAGATAGCTTCTTTCCAAGATTATTGGCTTTCTAGGCATTTTCCTAATACCAAGGAGAGGTATCACTGATTCATATGTAATAAGCCCATCTTATGTTCCATTTAAAAGGAAAATAAGCCAAGTGCTCATGTTTGGATAACTGGTGAGAAACAGCTTTTTATCTTTTGTATGTCCAGGGAACTATCTACAGAATGGGGACAGTGAAGGCAAGTGTAATACCAGCTATGTTTCGACCATTCTTCCTTTTGATATGGTAATTATGTTCTCAAACACTTCTTTGGAAGAGATAGGAACCTCAGAATCACTCCCCGTGAGAGAGAAATGACCCAGTCATGGAGGGAGGTAGCATCTGTCTTTGCCAGCTGACATGTAGGGAATTTGTTGGGAAAAAAATACAATATACCACATATTCATAGATTAGTAGGGACTTTGTGTCCATTAGAAAACAGTTCTTTGGCAACACCTACTCTTTTAGCATGGCTGACATCCTTTATGTTAACTACATGATCCAAGAACTGAGCAAAGAAAGGAGAGCTTCAAGCTCAAGCGTGAGGTGACATTGCCAAATGTACATTTATTAGGAATAAATATAAAGCAACTCACACAAGGTATTTGGTTAAGGGGAAATGATTTAATTGTGAAAGATCAGCTTTGCCCATTGTTCAGGAAAGCATTCATTGCATACAGGACCTAATAGCCAGCATAGTTCTTTGGGTCTAGGTAAACCATTAGAGCCCCTCTTTGTATTTACGCTATGCAGTTTTTATCCCAGAGATGTGCACGTAATTTTGCCAGATTTTCAAATTCTATATTCTGCTCTATGAAGAGATAAAACCATGAAGGGAAATATCTTTGCTACCCAAGTGTCTCTCCTTCACTGGAGCCCATTTGCCATTCTGGAACATGTGGGAAAGTTTGCACGTGAATAGGTCTAGGGCAGATGGAAGCCTGAGGAAGCAACTTCAAGAGAGACACAGGTAAGAAAGGAAAGTTCTGACTGTATGCAAAGTAGGTGTGTCTTTGGCAAGGCAGGGATGCAGAGTTACCTAGACAACGGAGAAAGAACAGGGCCATTTTGGAGAAATAATTCTCTTAAATTTAGTCAGTTATTTGTTGAGTTTGTTTGCCAGACATTATCCATCATTGACCATCTATCTTTATAGCTCTCTACCAGGCACTAGTTTTGAACCTGTAGACACCAAATAATCAAGGCTCAGCTTACTGTAACCCAGGTCACTTGTACGGTTATTCTGTGTACAGATTCTTCTTGATCTGCAGGAGGGAGATGTTTTCTAATTTAGGTAATAGGTTGAACTTGTATAATAGTTAACTGGTCTTATTTTACATAGTTTCCTTTGAGATGGATAAAAAATATTTTTCTTATAGAAAAAAAAAATGCCTCCATGATTGGTGGCTATTAAGAGAGAAATAACTTGTTTAAACTTGTTTTCTTTTTGACTGCATTTGACAAACCTGGTTCAGTTCAGTTCAGTTGCTCAGTCATGTCCGACTCTTTGCGACCCCATTAACCGCAGCACGCCAGGCCTCCCTGTCCATCACCAACTCCCGGAGTCTACCCAAACCCATGTCCATTGAGTCGGTGATGCCATCCAACCATCTCATCCTCTGTCGTCCCCTTCTCCTTCTGCCCTCAATCTTTCCCAGCATCAGGGTCTTTTCAAACCTGGTTACTTCTTTTTAAAAGCATGTTTGAACTCTCCTGTATCTTTCCTTGGCCTCATTCACTGGTCCTGATAAAGCTGTGTTCTTTATCAGGACCAGTGAATGTTCTTCCTTGCTCTTGACCTACTAACACAGGATGCAATTAACTCAGGCATCTTTGCTCTATGGCACACATACAGTATTTTAAACTTGAAATGGGTTCCCTTGAAAGAATAACCAATCTCTTTTGAAGGTCTCTTTGGAGTTGTTTATTACAGAACTGTCTACATGTAGAGAAATGGCCTAAGCACCCTGTAGGCCCAATTCAATCCTCGGGGACTCTAATTTTAAGCAGAAATTTTTGTAATTTCTTGACTGAGTTAAGTGTGTTCATTTCAGCACAGTGAAGAGCTTTACACATGATCATATCTAGTATTAAGAGAAGATGATACGGAAAATGGTGACTCTTTATTCATCCATGTACTCACTCAACAGACACTTACTGAAGAAGTCAAAAGGCCAGACTCTGAGAGCTCAGCATACAAAGATGAGTAAGACACAGCCACTGCCCTTGCCAGGGAGACAGAAAAGCAGACGAATAATTGCCATCAGTGTGAAGAGCACAGTAATGGGAGTACATGTCAGGCACAATGGTGGGCCCCAGGAGAGGGTGATAATCAGAGGGACTTGACTGAGCTTTCCCAAGCAGAATTACTTCCTCTTGTTTCCTGATCTTTATGGTACCCCAGTGATAAATGTGCAATAGCGAAGAATCACTCTTCAAACCGATTTCTCAAGTACCAAAATATAACACTGCATTCTGGAAAGTAGGACAGCTTGTAATCACTCCTCCAGTCAAGTCGCTGGCTGCAACTAAAGAGGAAAAACTGCTCCGTGCAAACATGCATTTTGTACCTTTGCTGAAGAATGGATGTGATCTGCTTGCAGAAATCTTCTCCAATTTGAGAAAACTCCTTCAGGTTCTTGTATACTTTATTATACTGAAACAGAAAAGGTGTACAGAAGGGTTAGGAGCACGCCCAAAGACTGAACTCCTGTAAATTCAGAATGCTGCTGTGATGAGGGCTGTCATCGTAAATGATCCTGCAGCTGCAGAATGCACACTTTGATGAGTTATTAAAAATAAAGAGGAAGTCTCTTCTGTCTGGATGTGAAAGACCCTGGAGAACTTTTCAAAAAATAGAGCTTGTCTATCTGTTTCTTCCTAGGCCAAACGCAAACTTTTCATCAGTGGGTGAAGTTGGATACCTGTCACTCTTCTTAGTCCCAGGAAAGCTAAAAATACATCCTGAAATACACTGAAGAGTCAAGTTATGTCTCCCCCACAAATTCCAGTATAATATTTCTGGACCTCATGGCAAACCCTGAACCATTAAAGTGAGTCTTTCTTGACTGTGATAGAAAATGTAAGTGAATAGTTTGTTAATAAAATTTCTCCTAGTCCCCTCTATATCTCATTGAACTTTAGTAATAAGAATGTTATGATTATGAGTTGAACATTTTGGTTGAACCAAACCTTCATACATTTATAAATAAACCTTTATCAGTGTATCTATATATGAATTTAGTTGTAGACAAAAATATTCCAATCGAAAGATTTTTTGTCATATGGCTCAAAACTCCACAATGTTCTTCTAAACATTGTATTGCTGAGGATAGACATAGATGACGATTGCCTAGAGGGAGAGGGTGTCAGTTGATTCTGCTGCTTTCCTGACACAGAGTGGGTGAGAGAGGTGATCAAGTCCAAACACATCTCTTAGTGTTTCCATCTGGGAGATGGGATGGCCCATTTCATTTTTCAAAATGAGATTGCACCCTGGAGGATGCAAATTCTGTGTAGACTGAGTGTCATGCAGTGACTCTTTGCTGATACAATGAGCCAGCCCCTTCCTGACCTCAGATGTCATGGGCATGCTGCTGGTCAACCTGCTGAGAAAGAGAAAGGGCAGGAAGCTCAGACTTCCTGAAAACCTACTATGGGGCAACCATGTTTCCATACAGGAATCTTCAGGGCAAGACAACTTCTCAGCTGTCAACCAGTACCTGGAGTAAGGGGCTGGTAGACTGGCAAATAGGACATAGGGCACAGAGGAAGAAAAACCAAGAGAAAGGACCAAAACAGGCCCCTACCTTCAGGAGTGGAACCAACCATCACCTAGGATGTAGAAACATAATCTTATAGATACCAAATCCTTTGATCTTTATGCAGTAGTTTAACTTTCCCCTGAATTTAACACAGAAAGCCACCACAGGATCTGGTAGATGCACAGTAGGAAAAAAACAGCTTCACTGAAACGCCCAGAACACAAGGACTAGGGTCAGAGTGCAAAGCTCTTTCGAAGGACATTGTTGACTCCTAAAGCAAGATTTGCAAAATCACGGGTTTACAGCACTGTCAGACACCTGCATAAGGGAGGAGCAGGCTGGGGACAGTGAGCTGGAGGGATAGCTGCCACAACAACTCTGGACCACAGACCAGCTTTCTTGTCCAAAAAAGCTGAAATGAGAATTGGGATCTGAAAAATAATCTGTTTTTTAAATTGCAGCAAACGATTCACAAAATTTTAAACTACTGTCCAAGCAAGCAAAACACACTTGGGTGTAGACTTCATTATGAAGAAATGACTCTCTCACATGAACTTACTTACAAAGCAGAAAGAGACTCACAGACTTCAAAAATGAATTTATGGTTGCTCAGGGGAGGGGATAGTTAGGGAGTTTGGGAAGGTCACTGCTGTTTTCAAAATGGATAACCAACAAGGAACTATTGTATAGCACGTGGAACTCTACTCAATGTTATATGCCAGCCTGGATGGGAGAGGGTTTTGGGAGGGAATGGATGCAGGTATATGTGTGGCTGAGTCCCCTTGCCGTTCACCTGAAACCACAACAACATTGATAGGCTATATGTGCTCAGTTTTGTCCAACTCTTTGCAACCCTATGGACTGTAGCCCTCCAGGCTCCTCTGTCCATGGGATTTTCCAGGCAAGAAGACTGGAGCGTATAGCCATTCCCTTCTCCAGGGGTTCTTCCTGACCCAGGGATCAAACCCACATCTCCCATGTCTCCTGCATTGGCAGGTGGATTCTTCAACACTGAGCCACCTGTGAAGCCAATTGGTTACACCTCAATACAAAATAAAGTTTAAAGTTTGCAAAGAAAAAAAGAAATGATTCTCCTCTGAGGCATGAGAGTAAAAGCACAGTTTGGCAACCAAGATTTCTCATTTTTATTTTCATAAATGTAAATTGTTATCTATGAATGACATGATACTCTCAGGGCTCTTCTTCCCCTTCCAAGTACAGTGGGAGAGTTTGGTAAACACTTTAAAATTGCTTAGCTTTTGTGGCCCAAACATTTTTACTAAATTCTCCCTTAAGCCTTTTATTTCCTTCCCGTAACACTGAATAACATCCAATAAAACATAACGAGGTGTCGTGAAAATAAAACAGGAAAATGTTAAGCAGGCACATGCCCTTGGAATAAAGTCATTTCTCAGCCTCTCTCACCCATAGGTGTAACCATGCAATTAAATGCATCCCAAAGGGGGATGGGTGAAAGTTCATGTTGGGTTTCAGTGAAAATTCCTTCCTCCTCTTTCCTGAAACTGGGAATTAAAATGACAGCTGTGCCATAAGATGATCTTGAGGGTGGATGCCACATGCTAAGATTTTAGGTCAGAAAAAGAGAGAGCCTGGATCTTGGGGGCCTCTACCTGAGCCCTAACTCTCTACTTAGGGACATATTTTGTGTATGGGAGGACTGTAATGATAGGCTTTCTTTTTCAAAGCCACGCTTATTTTGCATTTCTAAAATATATAGCTAAATATCATTCTAAATCAGAGGGTTTTTTTTTAATATCTACAAGTGATTTATCTATTTTTTGTTTGTTTTTACAATGTTGTGTTGGTTTCTGCCATACAGCAATGTGAATTAGCCACAATTATACATGTATCTCCTCCCTCCCTTGCCTCCCCCAATCCCATCCCTCCAGGTCATCACAGAGCACCAGACTTCCTGTTTTAAATTATGAAACATTATTATGTTTCAAAAATAATAATAATACATACACTAATTATGATATCCCTTTATATTCTTGCTACCTAAGTTAACAGAGATAACATTTTTCTGCTCTTTTTTCAACGTTGCAATATTGTAATATTTTCTTTCTTTCTTTCTTTTTTTTGACCAAACCGAGCTATCTGTGGGATCTCAGTTTTCTGACCAGAGCTTGAACCCAGGCTACACAATGAAAGCCTGGAATCCTAACCACTAGACCACCAGAGAACTCCCTGTTTCTGCTCTTTTTAAGCAACATTTTTTTTTTCTTTCATAATTTCTTTGACTATTCTCGTGCATTTATTCTTCCCTATGAACATTTATCTAACTACAATTTTTAAAAATCCCCACTGAGATCTTAATTGGAATTGCATTACATCTATATATCTCAATTTGAGGAAATTAACTTTTTTATGGTATTTAGACTTCCCATCCAAGGGCACAGTAAGTCTTTTCATTAGTTCAAATCTTATTTCATGTTCAATAAAATTTTATAATTTTTTTATAGGTCCTGTAGCATTCTTGTTTATTTAGAAATATCTCACAGTATTACACAGTATTAAGCAGCATCTTTTGAAATACCATCCTGTTTCTCTCTCTAGCTTACACCAAAGCAGAAATAAAGACTCAACAAAAACATAAGGGGGCCATGTGCAGCAGAGAAAGATTTGGACGCCTGCTTGCAAAGTGAGTTTTTCTGCTCCTAAACACTATAAGGTCCAATACTTTGGCCATCTGATGCAAAGAGCTGACTCAAGACCCTAATGCTGGGAAAGACTGAAGGCAAAAGGAGAAGGCAGTGGCAGAAGATGAGATGGTTAGATGGCGTCACTGACTCAACGGACATGAATTTGAGCCAACTCCAGGAGATAGTGGAGAACAGGGATGGTGTGCTACAGCCCAGGACAGGGCTTAGTGACAGAACAACAACAGCAAGGAGGAGACAAAGCAGAGAGCCAGATGGAAGGATCTGGAGCCTTCAGAGCAGAAGGGAGGAGAAGAAACTCCAGCCTGGAAAGCTAGGAGTGGAGGGAAGGGTCTCTGTGATGAGCTGTCTGAGGGCATGGACCCCCGCAGCCCACCATCATCAGAAGAGACGATTTGCAACCGAAGTCCTGGGGAAAGAATCAGGTGCCTCAGACACCATGTGGGAGGATGGGGTCAGGAGGAGAAACCTTGTTCCTAGTGGAAGTGGGAATGAGCAGAACCAGTTGAGAATTTTTCCCTGTCCTGGGACTACTGCATTTCCTGAACTTAATCAAGGCATCAAAACTCTCCAAGACACATTTAAAAAATACTATCTCCAGAGAACAGCATTGAAACATGTACATTACCATAGGTAAAATAGATGATCAGTGCAAGTCTGAATTATGAAGCAGGGCTGTGTCCTGCTTGGGACACAAGTCCCAAAAGCCTGCGCTCAGGGACAACCCAGAGAGATAGGGTGGGGAGGGAGGGGAGAGGGGGGTTTAGGATGGGGGGGACACATGTATCCCTGGGGCCGATTCATGTTGATGTATGGCAAAAACCATCATAATATTGTAAAGTAATTATTTCCACTTAAAATAAATTAACTAATTTTAAAAAATTATCTCCAGAAGACTAGTTCTAGGAAGTCAGACAACCCTGAAAGTTTATAAACCAATGATTCAAAACTCAACTGCTTTTAGTGTAGAGTGGGTGAGGTCTGGCAGCATGGAGACTGCCTGCCTTTCTCAAAGGCATTCATAGTTATCTATTTTAAATAAGAGTCTGCTCAAATCAATCATATCTTATGGCTTCAATTGCCCCTGGGAGTCCCGGTTTTAGATTTTGGAAGATTTCCTGTCATTTAGTAGGCTAGTACTTCCTTTTTTCACATCGTGGTATCTGTAGAAAATGTTATCTGTCCTGGAACAATGTGATAAATGGACAAAG